GGAGAGGAGAGAGCAGGGCAGGTGAGGGCGGGGGGAGGGAAGAGGAGAGAGCAGGAAGGGGAGAGGGGAGAACAGGGCAGGTGAGGGCGGGGGGAGGGAAGAGGAGAGAGTGGGGATGGGGAGGGAGCATGGAGGCAAAAAGGAATGACAAATGAACCCCCCCCAGGGCAAACCCAAGGGGCTGAGCAAGGGGCAGGAGAGGGAGGGAGGCTGCCGGGAAGATGCCGGCGCTGCCAGCTCCCTGTCACGAGCGCCCAGGCCTGGGAGCGGGGCCGCTGTGCGACTGGGAAGGTGGTTTCTAGCCCGCCTGGAGGTGGAGACCGTGACCCTGGCACCCTCACGGGCTCCGGAGCAGAAGGCAAATCAAGGCGCACATCAGATCTCCCCTCCCCCGAGCATCTCTCCGGTTCCGGTCCGTTGCCTGGGCTCAGGGCCAAGAATGCCCGTGTCCCCTGACCGCTGCCTTTCCCTTCCCAAAGTGCCCGTCTGCCGGAACAGAGAGCCACCCCCTCTCCCGCCCGGAGGAGCATTGGGGGGAACGGGCAGGGCCAGGGCCCAAGAGCCGACCCCCGGGCACCCGGCAGAGCCCAGCAAAGGGGAAGGCGACCTGGTTCTGCCCCGCCCCGGGGCTCAGCGGGAAGCGGGACGTGCAGTGCGTAGCCCTCCGAACCTTACAATCTTCTCCACTAGCTGGTTGAGCTGCCTCTCGTTGCAGGGGGCGCCGTCCACGTAGTAATCCATCCCGCGCAGGCAGTAGTGGCGCCCGGTGCAGGGACTGTAGTAGCCTTGGAAGGGCTTGCGCCCGGGCAGGACTGTCTGGTGCTGGACGGAGGGCAGCTGGTTGCGGGATAAGCTGTTCAACATGTTGACCACCACTTCCCTTTCTGAAACGAGAGGGGTCGGCCCCCCGGCTGTGAGAGCCCGGCATTCGCCACCCTGGACAGCCCGCCGGGCCCTCCCGCATGCTGGGCACCGAGCCCACGGCCACTAGGGACAGCCACGCCCCAGACTCCGAACGGGGCAGGGGGTGTGGTCTAGTGGCTAGAGCAAACATACCACGCTTGTGTGTGCGTGCCACAGCTCCCTCGGGTGCAGGGGTGGGCAATAATTTTTGTAGGGGGGGCCACTTCCCCAATTGCGGTAGTGGAGGCGGACCAGCCTGGGAAGGGGCGGGGCCTTAGGCAAAAGGGGTGGGGCCTTGGAAGAAAGGGGCGGTGCTCTCTAGGCACCGCGTGGCCCTGGCGGTGGGGGGAGGAGTCTTTGCGTGCTCCCCCATGGGGTGGGGGAGCATGAGACGTCTCTCACCCCCGCCCTGCCCTGCCTGGGGCGCATGGCGCCTGGACAGAACCGTCAGCCGTTCTGAACAGCTGCCGGTTCCCTCTGGTGCTGCGCAGCCCTGGCAGGGGAGGAGACTTCGTACGCTCCCCCCCACAGGCTTGGGGGTGTGGGTGAAGGAGGGTAGAGGCCAAATGAAATGGCTTGGCGGGCCAGATCCAGCCCATGGGCCATAGCTTGCCCACCTCTGCTCTAGGGGCTGGTCCATCGGCAGGACAACAACCTACTACTGCTGCCAGCTACTGCATTGCTCTAGCGACAAAGGTGTGTGCTTGGCTGCAGAAGGGTCCTGCCGGCGAACCGGGCAGGGGAGTCAATGCACAAGGGACTGGCCAGAACATCCCATGGGGAGTGACCGTTTACGAAAGCGCCCCCCAGCCTCCAGGATGAAAAGCCTTAGCAGTGCCATAAGCTCCTAGCCGAGGGTGTTCGCCACGTCCTCCTTGCCTCTGCTTCATCACCTCGGAAACTCTGGGCACCTCGGGGGCCCTGCCGTGTGGGGCTGGTGAGGAGGGCAGTTAACTGGCAAGTCCGGGCAGCACCTTCCCAGCCCCACACTGCAGCAACAGCAGAGCCTTACGCTGGAATGGACCCCGGGGCTTGCTGGAAGGGCTCAGAAAGGCTGCATGTAAAAACCTCCCAAGGAAATCTCCGCGGGACGCCTGTCTCCAGCCAGAGAGGGTCTCAGACCCCTGGCTCCCCGGAATCCCTGCCCTCCCGGGTCAGGCGAGCGGAGAACCCAGTGTAATTACCGTAGTTATTGAGTCGGTCAGGCTTCGGGGGGTATTGCATGGGCATCCCGCGCAGGATGGTCTCCATCCCGGCTTCCTGCAAGGAAAGGTGGCAGAATCCAGCAGCCGGCAACCTCCCCGTCGTGCAGGGGCCAGGAAAGTTCGAGCTCCCCTCACCCTGCCCTGCCCTTGGCCCTGGGACGTGAAGGCAACTTCCTTTCTGTCCTGGGCCTCTTTGCTGAGCCCGCCAGCCTCGTCGCCCCAAGGGTCGGTTCTGGGGCCGGTTTGGTTCAGCATCTTTCTTAACGCCCTGGCGGAGGGGATGGGTGGCTCCCTCAGCAAGTTGGGATGTGGATGCATTGGAGAGGGTCCAGCGGAGGGCAACCAAAATGATTAGGGACCTGGAGCACATGACCTATGAGGAGAGGCGGAGGGATTTGGGTTTGTTTAGTCTGCAGAAGAGCAGAGTGAGGGGGGATTTGGTAGCAGCCTTCAACTCCCTGAAAGGGGTTGAAGAGGCCGGAGAGAGGCTGTTCTCAGTGGGGGCAGGTGGCAGAACAAGGAGCAATGGGCTCAGGTTGCAGTGGGGGAGGTCAGGTTGGATATTAGGAAAAACGATTTCCCTAGGCAGGTGGGAAGCGCTGGGCTGGGTTCCCTAGGGAGGGGGTGGAATCTCCGTCCCTAGAGGGGTTTAAGTCCCAGCTTGACCAAGCCCTGGCTGGGATGGTTGAGTTGGGGTTGGTCCTGCGTTGGGCGGGGGGCTGGACTCGGTGACTCCTGAGGTCTCTTCCCGCCCTGGGATTCTCGGATTCTATGCTGCTTAGTGAGCGGGTGGCGTTTCCGACATGGACACTTGCCCACTGGGAACTGGGCCAACATCTGTGTCATTCCAGTCTCCACAGAACCCAGGGGCACCTTCAGCGTCTCCTTCTGGTTCTATTGCACAGAACTACGCAGCCAGGAAACCGGCCCCGGACTCTAGCTCCTGGTATTTGCCGGGGCTGAGCCCTGTCTGGAAACACAGCTCTCCCTGCTGAGGGGGGAGCCATCTTGTAGTGGGAGCAGCACCTCACAGAAGGTGGCCTAGAGCCAGATGAAGGCAAGCCCTTGCTTACCACGCGGGGGTGGAGGGAGGCGTGACCGACTCCGTTTTGCGGAGGTTAGCAGCGGGAAGGCGCTATGCAAGCTCAGAGAAGGGTCATGCTGGCTTTTGACCTGGGTTATTGAGCGTTACATTTTCAAAGCAAAGCGGGGAGAAGGAGCCAGCTGTACAGGCCTTCTCTGGCGGCAGGTGGCGGTACAGGGGCTGAGATGTCATAAGAACATAAGATCGGCCAGACTGGGTCAGACCAAAGGTCCATCTAGCCCAGTGTCCTGTCTGCCGGCAGTGGACAATGTCAGATGCCACAGAGGGAGGGAACAGATTAGGGAATTATCAAGTGATACGTCCCCTGTTGCCCATTCCCAGCCTCTGACAAACAGAGCCTAGAAACATCATCCTGACCCATCCTGGCTAATAAGTCTCGATGGACCTAACCTCCATGAATTTATCTAGTTCTTTTTTGAACCCTGTTAAAGTCCTGGTCTTCACCACATCCTTTGGCAAGGAGTTCCACAGGTTGACTGTGCGCTGAGTGAAGAAAACCTTCCTTTTGTTTTAAACCTGCTGCCTATTAATTTCATTTAGTGACCCCTCGTTCTTGTGTTATGGGAACAAGTCAATAACTTTTCCTTATTCACTTTCTCCACCCCTGTTTTGATGGTATAGACCTCTATCATATCCCCCCTTAGTCTCCTCTTTTCTAAGCTGAAAAGTCCCAGTCTTTTTAATCTCTCTTCGTATGGCAGCCGTGCCAAACCCCTCATCATTTCTGATGCCATAAGCAGTTTTGAAAGTCTAGCCCCTTCCCTCGCCGTCCGCCAGCCCCTCCCTAGCCCTTCCCTCGCCGTCCGCCAGCCCCTCCCTAGGGAAGAGAAGCAGGGGTGTGCTGGAGGCCCGTGGTTTACCTTTGGAAGCCTGGGGAGGTAGGTGGTGTATTTATTCCACCCCGCGCTGTTGTAGGGGCCTGTCCGCCATGTTGCGTACTTGTCTCCACTGACAAAAACTGGATTGTACTTTTCTGAAAAGGAAATGAACAGACAGAAAAACGTTTCCTCCCAGGGACGAAGAGCGGCGTCTTAGACATCAAGGTGAGAAACGAGCCATCTACCCGGACCTCTAGTACATGGGCCAGGGAATTCCCCCCAGTTGCTCCTGGAGGGAACCCCAGACCGTAGAGCCTCTCCTCCAGAAAAGCTCCCAGTCTGCATCAGAAGGCGTCAAGCGATGGAGAACCCGCTGCCGCCCTCGGCAGTTTGTTCCAGTCGCCACCCACGTCTGCCATTTCTAACGGGCGTGTGTCTGGCTGGAACTTCCAGCTGCTGCTGCTTGTTCTGCCGGATGCCACAAGATGAAAGGGGGGAAGGATAGCTCAGTGTTCTGAGCATTGGCCTGCTAAACCCAGGGTTGTGAGTTCAATCCTTGCAGAAGCCATTTGGGGCAAAAATTTGTCAGGGATGGTAGTTGGTCCTGCTGTGAAGGCAGGGGACTGGACTGGACTTGATGAAGGTCCCTTCCAGTTGTGGGAGAGAGGCCATCTCCATTAAAGAGCCCATCCATTTCCTCCCAGGGCAGGTCTGTAGATGCAGTAACTCAACAGCACCAGCTTCTTTTCAGTAAGCTGAGCACCTCTCCCTCGAAGGCTTCTTTTATTTCCAACCCGCATGGGCAGCAGGTTGGCTAGGCAGGGGGAGGTTCTGCCTTCCCAAACCACCAGGCATAGCCCTGCCCCCTCTCTACCCCTAGAATCCCTACTGATTCTGGGGGTGGCATGTGCTGCCCCCCAGTGCCCACCCTCCTCTGTGCTTGGCCTCCTCCCTCTGTGGTGCTCTGGGGACTGGGGAGTCTGGGACACACACTTGCCCCCTCCTGTCTCTTCTCTCCCCGTAGTGGGGGGTGGGGCCTCTGCAGAGGGGGCGGGGTTGTAGGCGGGGTTGGGGGCCTGCCTCCTCCACGCCCCAGCTGTGCCAATCACCCATGCCAACCCTGGAATCACATTGGTGGCTTTTTGCAGCATTTTATCTGTGGCTACATCTACACTGCATGCTTCTTGTGCAAGAGCACCTCCCACCCCTCAGAGCGCATCACAAAAGTGATGTGCTTTTGCACAAGAGCGCATCCACGCTGCGTGGACGCTCTTGCACAAGAAAGCTCTCGTGGCCACTCACAGAATGGTCATCAGAGCACCTGTGCTTCTTCCAATAGAGGTTTCTTTCTGGAGCATCCACACTTGCCTTTTTGTGCAATAGCTGACGCGCAAAAGGGAGTGATGCATCGTAGGAGGAGGGTTACCCACACCGGCAAAAGCCCTCCGTTCTGCCATTTTACTGCTGATTTACTTGCCCACACGGGCATTTGAGGTGTGGATGCTTCACAGGTGTTTATGCAAAAAAGCCCATTTTTGCGCAAAAACCTTGCCGTGTAGATGTAGCCTGAGTTCTCAACACCCATCTCACCGTGTGGGTACCAGAGTGGGACCCCGTGTTCCAGGAAAAGTCTTGCCAGTGCTGCAAACAGAGACCAAGTCACCTTCCTGCCCCTATTTACTCCTCCAAAGGTCCCTCCCTTTTTGCAGCCCAGAATCACCTTTTTGACCCCAGCAAACCGTGCCACGTAGCTAGCTGAAGCTGCCGGGTGGCGGCTGGGTTTAAAAAACCCTCAGGCAAACAGCCTGCCATGCACAGTGTCAGCCCTGCCGTCCAACGCAACTGGGCTCCAGCCCGGCCATCGTGCACGGGGGAATCTCAGCACGCTGGAGGCACCGGTCATAGAATCATAGACATTCATCGGTTCCACAGCATGGTGCACGGGATTCTGGGATGCTGGAGGTACCCTCTTGTGGATGCGACTGACAGCTAAGACCCCCTAACCCTTCATGGCCCTGCTGGCGCTGTTTGTAGGGATGCGAACCCCAGTGTCCTGGCCGAATTACATCGCAGGGAATGCCTTCTGCCCACCTGAACGCTCGCTTCAGTTTCAAGTGGCTTCCTCCTCACTTTCCATCCTACTCTATAGTCTACTATCCCCGTACCTTGTTCCCCAGGAGCCGCGTTCCTCACCCGAGGCGGCTGCTGTGAAGTGAGCCCCGGGTGGAGTTGGCGCAGCAGTTAGTTACAGTGACGAAGGACGTGGGGGCTGGAAGGCCCCATGGGAACAGGGCGCCCGCGACTGCTGCCGTTACGTCTGAGTCTCAGAGAGAGAAATAACCGTCGTGTCTCTGGGACAGGTCGGACGTGGACTTGCCAGTAGAACTGGCTCTGCACCCTCCTTGGCTGCATGGGTCTCCCACGCCGCAGCCGGCTGCCGGCACCACAGCGGAAAGTGCCGTGGTGCGGGGGTGAGCAGGGATGGAGAAACGAGGGCAGCATTTGCAACAGTAGGCGCTTGCAGCGAGCCTCTCACGCTCTTCTTTAGTCTCCGATGTTAGTGGCGTGAAGCTGACGTCAGTGGGAGCACCGGGCGCCAGAGGCAACTTTGGTGGGTGGGCAACAATGGAGTGGGGGGAGTGGGACAGGAGGGATGGGGGCAATCCCCACTGCCCTGGCCCTCTTCCTAGCTGGCGGTGCCGGACGGAGTGAGGTAAGCCTTGAGGCTTCAGCCCCGCTCCCTGGCTCAGGCACCGGGCGGAGTGAGGTAAGCCCTGAGGCTCCGGCCCCGCTCCATGGCTCGGGCGCCGGGCGGAGTGAGGTAAGCCTTGAGGCTCCGGCTCCGCTCCCTGGCTCAGGTACTGGGCGGAGTGAGGTAAGCCTTGAGGCTCCAGGCCCGCTCCCTGGCTCGGGCGCCGAGCGGCGTGAGGTAAGCCCTGAGGCTCCAGCCCCACTCCCTGGCTCAGGCACCGGGCGGAGTGAGGTAAGCCCTGAGGCTCCGGCTCCGCTCCCTGGCTCAGGCACCGGGCGGAGTGAGGTAAGCCCTGAGGCTCCGGCCCCGCTCCATGGCTCGGGCGCCGGGCGGAGTGAGGTAAGCCCTGAGGCTCCAGCCCCGCTCCCTGGCTCGGGCACTGGGTGGAGTGAGTTAAGCCCTGAGGCTCTGGGCCCGCTCCTTGGCTCCAGAGCTGGACAGAGTGAGGTAAGCCCTGAGACTCCGGCCCCGCTCCCTGGCTCAGGCACCGGACAGAGTGAGGTAAGCCCTGAGGCTCCAGCCCCGCTCCCTGGCTCGGGCACTGGGTGGAGTGAGTTAAGCCCTGAGGCTCTGGGCCCGCTCCTTGGCTCCAGAGCTGGACAGAGTGAGGTAAGCCCTGAGACTCCGGCCCCGCTCCCTGGCTCAGGCACCGGACAGAGTGAGGTAAGCCCTGAGGCTCCAGCCCCACTCCCTGGCTCAGGCACCGGGCGGAGTGAGGTAAGCCCTGAGGCTCCGGCCCCGCTCCCTGGCTCAGGCGCCGGGCGGAGTGTGGTAAGCCCTGAGGCTCCGGCCCCGCTCCCTGGCTCAGGTACTGGGCGGAGTGAGGTAAGCCTTGAGGCTCCAGGCCCGCTCCCTGGCTCGGGCGCCGAGCGGCGTGAGGTAAGCCCTGAGGCTCCAGCCCCGCTCCCTGGCTCGGGCACTGGGTGGAGTGAGTTAAGCCCTGAGGCTCTGGGCCCGCTCCTTGGCTCGGGAGCCCCGCTCCCTGGCTCGGGCGCCGGACGGAGTGAGGTAAGCCCTGAGGCTCCGGCCCCGCTCCCTGGCTCGGGCGCCGGGTGGAGTGAGGTAAGCCCTGGCCCTACTCCCCGGCTGGATCGCCGGGTTAGAGTGCGTGAGCCCTGGCGTCCTAGCCCTACTTTCTGGCTGGAGAGCTGGGGGAGGTGGGCCTGGATACGACGTGAGCCTGGATTCATGGCTGTAGCCATGGCCCACTCAGGCCCACTTGTGGCTACGCCCACGCTTGGCCCCCAGCACTTTGGAAAATCAGGCGCTAAAATATAAAGGATTTAGGGGCCTGACAGTGGGCTCCTGTTCTGGGAACTCTTGGCCTAGGTACAACAGCACCATCCAACTGCCCTGTGCTGCGGAGCAGCCCTTGGGGGGCGCCAGGAGGGGCGAGGGACCCTGCCTGGGTGTGCCTGGCCTTGCCCTGAGGGCGAGAGGGGCCCGGCTGGGCTTTTCAAATCACCCTCCCTCCCCACTAGCCCTTTGCCTCTCTCTAGAACGAAGAGGAGCCTCCCAAGGCAGGGCCGGCCGCCCTGCCCGCTCCTGCTTCCCCCGGCACCCGCAGACGTCAGGGGAGCAGGCCTCTGTCCCATGTCAGCTGCCCCGCGGCTGGCAAGAGTGGGCCACAGCCAGTCCTATTTTCATGGGCGGTGGGCGAAGCTAGGGCGGGGGAAGGTAAGCCCCCAATGCCCCCCCAGCCTTCCCTTCTGCCAAAGGCCTGCCCCCCACGGGAGCCAAGCTGCTTCCCTGCCCCCCCACCTCATGGGGAAGAAGGGAAACATGCTGCCCCCCCTAGCATGGGGCAGGCATGTGGCTCCAGCCTCCCCGGCCCAGAGCACAGGTCCCCCAATGTGCCTATATCAGGTGTTCTGGGGGCGGGGCCAGGCTGGCAGTTTGGGAAGGCAAGCCCCCCCCTTGCCTAGCATACCCACCACCCCTGGCCATTTCCCTTCCCTCCTGGCCGCAGAGCAAAGGGCCAGCCGGGAGGAGAGCCACGGCCAGGGAGCCAGCTCGGGGCCCTTCACAGAGACCGGGGGTGCTCAGCTGGCCGGTTTCCCTTCATGCCAGCTGGGCTGCTGGCTTCCCCCAGCAAGGGACCCTTCCCCACACTCATCTCCTGTGGGTAGTAATGTGGAGGCAGAAGATGGGGGGGGGGAGGAGAGGAGAGCACCGTGCAATGGGCGTGTGTTGTGGGGAGGGGCAGGCACTTACAGACCCAAGCCCCAGGGCAAGCGGCAGGCTGCACGCTGGAATCCCTTTTGTTCTCATGGCCAGCTCGGACTATCCCGACCCCTGCAGCTGGAGTCTGGGTGCATCCCGGCCTGACTGGTGAGTGGTTTGTGGGCGGGGCCTGACTGACCACCCCCGGGACAGAGAACCACACGGATGTTGAGCCCTGCAGCAAGCAAGCGGCTCTCCCATCCGTATCGCTACTGGGGAGGAGGGGTCTGTGTGTGCGGGGGGTGGGACAGGACTGGGTGGCGTTTCTTGCAGGAGAGACGGAGAGGATGTGAACTGTGCCTGCTCCCAGCAGCCTTTGCTTGTCTACAGACCGGCCGGAAGAAAAGGACAGAGAGCAGGGCTGGGGGGCAGGCGATTGAAATAATCCAGCAATACCTTCCGGCCTGGTTACCCAGTACTTTTCCGGCCTGTAGGCTGTCGGTTCTATCGTGTTCTTATAGGAGTATTCCTGCACCGCATGCTTAATCATCTTCTCCAGGTGAGCTTGGTTCACTTGATTTTCTACTCAGACCGGCCGGAAGAAAAGGACAGAGAGCAGGGCTGGGGGGCAGGCGATTGAAATAATCCAGCAATACCTTCCGGCCTGGTTACCCAGTACTTTTCCGGCCTGTAGGCTGTCGGTTCTATCGTGTTCTTATAGGAGTATTCCTGCACCGCATGCTTAATCATCTTCTCCAGGTGAGCTTGGTTCACTTGATTTTCTACTCTGGGCATCTTTAACCCCTAAAGACAACAGAGAATTGGGGATGAAATCAGATTAATGTTTGCTCTTTGCAAATTCCGGGCTGGTTGGGATGAAGCTAATTAAATGCAAGCCTGCATTGAACGGGGGAGTCCATGGCATCAAGGCATGTCCCGGCTGTTAATATGCGCATCACCATGGCCACCCGGAATGTTACAAGCGCTGGGCTGGAGCCGAAAGGCTCACTCTCTGAAAGCCCTTGCACTTGAGTATAAGGAAAATCAAAGTCAGTGGTGAGCCATATAGGGCCTATGACACACAGCGGAGCAGTTCTGGATACAGCCAGTAGAAGGCAGCTGTGCCGTACACCTGTTAGCAGTTCAGTTTGCAAATATTAATACTCTTCTTCTTCAAAGTATAGAATGGCATCACCTCTTGCTAACATGGTTCTTTTATCTCTTGGTATCAAAGTGCTTTGCGGAGGTAGGTTCCCTTTTATTTAGGCAGGGGATGGATCTGACGCTGAAAAGGAGGAATTGGTGTACTGCCAGGGTTAGCATTTAGAAATTCCTAGCTTCCAGTCTGACCCTAGACCGTGCAACTGTCGTAATATTTACATGGGCAGAAAACAGCCCATCTTCCGTTCACTTATGGATTCCCAACGGTCCTGTCTGAGCACACATGACTGCTTACTCATTTAACATACGCACAGCAACGCAGACCAGAGCCAGGGCCTGTAAAAGGGCTGATTAAAAAGCTCACTAGAACTCAGCCATTGCTCGGGTTTCTTCTGGATGTTTTAGGGCTACTCTGGTAGGCTACGGGTTAATGCTTACAGGTAGATACTGCTTTGGAATCCTGCAACACACGATGCTGCAGCAAAATACTGTCCCATCGCCATGAAACCTGGTGCCATTTCACCATCCCTGGAGCTATCTACAGGTCGCCACTTCAGAGACGGTAGGGTTGCCTACTGGCTAGGGCACCACGCTAAAGGAGAGCTGGGTTCAAATCCACTAAAATCATGTCTATTTCCCTTCCCTCCTGTCCCGTTGATTGAGCTTGTTAAGGGCAGGGATTGTTTAAATGCACACCACCCAGCACAGTGGGGCTACGTATAGACTGCACGCCTTTTTCGACAGAGGTTTTGTTGGCAGATACTGTCGACACAGCCTCTGTCAAAAAAGAGCGTCTAGATTACAGCCAGTTCTGTTGAAAAAGCAAGCCGCTTTTTCGAAAGAGAGTGTAGATGCTCTCTTCCGAAAAAGCACAGTTTGCATGCAATAGCGCCTTTTTTCGAAAGAGCGCTTTCGAAAAAAAGGCGTTCTTCCTCGTAAAACGAGGTTTACCACCGGCGACAAAAACTGCGGCGTTCTGTCGACTTACTGTCAACAGAACACGGCGGTAGTGTAGACGCAGGTGTAGTTTTGTTGACAAAAGGCCACTTTTGTCGACAAAACCCTGTAGTCTAGACACACCCTCTCCACACTGGGGAAAGATGAATAGGAATAAAAGCACTGACCAGAGTACGCAGGTTGATCTCAGAAAGATGAAGGCGTTCGGCGAGCACAAGGAGGTCACCCGCTTAACAGGCCAAATTCCCATCCACACCCTCCGCCTTAAGTGCCCAAAAAAGCCCCATTAGCCAGAGATTGCAGCGAGCGCAGAAAGAGTCCTCGTTGCATGCAAATTGCCCCTAACCCTCACCTCTTCTCTGAACCACTTCTTCAACCATAAACCACTCAAAACATGCACAGACACGCAACTCTCTGCCCCGGGCGCGGCGGTTTGAACCGGATTGGCCGGGTGATATTTACAGGGCATGCTTTCTGGAGCAGATGCAGTGGGGCCCTATTCTGCCCCCGTGGGGAGACTCAACCTTGGATTCAATAGAACATAAAATAAATCCTAGACAATCGTGATTCTCAGCCAGGATTTATGGATTGTGCTTCTTACTGTCAGACAGGGCCACAGTGGGGGCCAGGACTGAGGCTAGGGGTGATGCCAGGGCCAGGACCAGAAGCGGTGCCCAGTGCAGAGCTACGGCTGGGCTGCATTAAGGGACCTAGGCTGGTGATAGGGCTGGCACAGAGCTGAGTGGTGCTCCCGGGGGGGCTGGCCTGGGTCCCTCTGCCCCCCCAGGACATCCCCTCATGTCCCCCAGAAGGCACGCCCCAATCTTGGGCCCATGTCCTCTAACACAGCCCAAGCCCCGGGTGCCACACTCACAGACCATCAGGAGCCATCCTGCTAACCGAGCCATCGAATTGGAAGATTTACCGAGGTAATAAACTTGTTGTCTTCCAGCAACATAAAGGGCTGCTCCTTGTAAGACTGTTTGACGGTACAAGGCTGTCGGTAAGATTCCGTGTAGGTGCTGATGGGCGTCTTCGTTTTGTGCGCAAAGAGGAACATCTCTCGCACGGACCCGGGGACGGGATTCCACTTTCAGTCTCAATGAAGTCTCCGCCGGTCCCTGAGAGCCAGGAAGGACTTGGGCCTGACGTTAATTTCCGGAGGCTGCCACGAGCTGCGCTGAACGGCGAGACCGTGAGCAAGACTCCTGGGCGTAGCGTAGCAAGCGACAAGTCTGTCTCCCAAATCTGACCGTATCCCGCAGTCACCAGCCCTGCGCGCATCACCGGTGATGTCACAGTCGCTTGGCTCAGCCGCATTGTAGCTAAAATAGAAAGGCGGGATCCCTGCAGGACTGGGTGGGGAAGGACGGGCCGGAATGTTGCCCTGGTGTGGAGGCATCGACTTGCTGATCTACGGGGGGGCAGGCTTCACCCCAACTGTACCCCTTCCCCAAAGTTGCACCCGTTCCCCTTCCCTAAGCGTGCCCCGCCCTTGCTGTATGACCTGCAGGAGGGAGGAGCTGATCGGCAGGGCTGGGGGATGCTGAGCATCCTAGTGGTTCCCCCCCGTGGATGCTCCAGTCCCGGAGCACCCACAGAGTTGGTGCTATTCCCTGGCGTTTCTCATCTGCCACCTTCAGCGATTTCCTAGCCACCTAGTCAAAATGGCTCCCACTGCCTTTCTCTCTCTCCAGCCGGGGCTGGCGCCAGGATATCGGAGAGCCTCCTGAGGGAACCTCTTTCTCCTCGGCCCCGGTCACAGGGCCGGCACCCAGCCCCACGGCGCCTCCCGCTGCTAGTTAGGGGAATCAGTGCTCCCTCCTCAGAGAACCCTGTGTCGGTGTCCCAGTCGGTCTTCTGCTGATTCCGCTCCGTGTCCCTTCCTGCCCACGGTGCCCTTTCCCCCTAGAACTGTCCAATGTCTGTGCCCCGGCACTCTGGGGTCCTCCCCTCCCAGGGAACCCCCAAATCCCCTCGGACCCACGGCCAGTCCTCATCTAGCCCCTGCCTTGGGGGCAAACTGCTTCTGACATGGCCACTCAGCACAGGCAAGGGGGTGTGGACCTGCTGCCTTTGCCTGCCTCTCGGCAGCCCTAGTACCCTCAGGCCTTGCTTCAGGCCCTCCCCAGCTCTGCCAGCCTCTTCCCAGCCCTGCTCTGTCTCAGGAAGCCCCCAGCTTCCCTGGCAGCCAGGTCCCTCCTGCTCCATAGCCAGAGTGAGTCTGTCTCCATCCCTTTAGGAGCCCTTCTTTATATAGCCTCCAGCTTGGCCCTAATTGGCTGTCTGCCTCAGCTGTGGGCTCCGCCCTCTCTCTGGGCTGGGTTTAACCCTGGATAGGGCCAGGGCGGAACAGACGCGCCGTCACACCCTTAAAGGGCCAGTGCAGCGCCCCCTTATGTAAGGAGCCAGCTGGCAGGAGAGGTCTGCACCCTGCCACCTCCTAGATGACTGGCCAGCTGGGGAGCAACGCAGCGTGTCCAGTGTGCAAACCGACTGATTGACATTCAGGCACTTGCATTGAGGAGACTCTCCGGGCACTATGCAAGCACCAGCAGTTACCCCATCCCAGCACCTAACCTCTGAGCTGGGCAGGGCCTCGGGCCAGCCTGGGACGGGTCCCAGCGGGGAGGGGAGCCCCAAAATTGCAGCGTGACGCCCTGCCTGGGTTGTTGCCCGTAGAAATCAGACCAGAGCCTTCTCCAGCTAATGAGCCCAGCGCCAGCCCCTGGAAGGCTGATAAATCTCCATATGGCCTGGACCCCTGCTCCCTGGTCCTCTCTCCTCCCCACCGCTGCGTCTGTCCAAGGAGACGGCTTGTCAGATCTTTCTGCCCACTACTGCCTGCGCTTTGGAGCCAGCCTCTCTGTCGCCATCTTTGCTGTGTTCGTGGCATGTCCTAGGCCTTCCGCTAATATGAGTGATTAGATTATGGGCAATGGGAAGTGGATTAGATCGTTAATAATTAGCCTCTCCTGGAATACAGCAGCATGCGCTGCCCCTTGCCGTGTGCTTCAGCTGCTAGCGTCATAGGCAATGCGGCCGACGGCAAAATCCTGCCAGTGCCGCTTGGCTGTGTGTCATATGCCCCATACTGAGTGCGCGGGCTGGGCCTGCAATGCCCCAAAAGAGTTGCGCTGATTGTTTAGCCTCCCTATTTTAAGATGCTCTCTCTCTATGCCTCAGCTCTGAATCAGTTTCTCATGGAGGCATTCACCATTCTGCGACAGCAGAGGGCGTTGCGTACCGTACCGTACCGTACCGTGTCCCAGCCAAAGGACAGACGCATCGGGGGAGGCAGTGGAAAGTTCATGCGTAGAGACAGAAGCTGTCTGGCGACTCCTATGCCCTGTCGGCGGCGAACATGCTGAACGTAAGGCACTTTTGTACGTTACCAGCTGGCATGAATTCATCCTACATTTGCTCGGAGGCTGGGCTGCAGGGCTTTCATCCATAGATCCAACTCAGACGGCGTCTGACAACAGCATCACGGCGCTGGATTGTGCAGGCCTCTACAACTGGGAACCTTCCGAAAGGCCAATCGTGGCTTGGCTAGGCACAGAGCCTCAGCAGCAAGGCAGGAGAGTCCAGCTTGCGATCTGCCTCTGGAGTGTCCGTAACCAGGGTTGGTTACAAAGTGCCCCCAAATGTCGGCTCCTCATTCAGGTAAAGCTAAGGGGGAACCGTAGGGCCCAGCATGTGCTGTGACAGTGCAATCTAACAATGCTCAGGGACACAAACTCATGCTCCAGCTCACCCCAGAAGCTAGGAGTAGGCAGGGGATGGATTGATCTATAATAGCACCGACAGCCAGGTGCTTCTCAGAGTGACCAATGAAATCCTGGCTTCTAATAGCTATTGAAGAGGAGGGCATCACTTGCAAGGGAAACATCTGGTTCACACTTTGGCTGATCTAAAGGACACTGGAGTCTAGTACAGGCTGTTGTAAACAAAAGCTTTGCATCTGGGTCTGGCATACAGCACCCCCTTGCACAGAGGAAGGTAAACAAATAAAGACGTGGCCAACTGGCTCAGGGACTAGCTTTGGCTGTTGGAAAGCTGAGTTCTGTTTCCATCTCTGCCACTGATCTTCTGGAGGACCTTGGTCAAATCACTTCTCTGCTCATTGCCTCAGTTTCCCCATCTTAAAATGGCCAGAATGATACTGACTTCCTATTAGAACTGCCATAGACACATTAGCTGCACTGATTAACAGGAAATGTGGAAATGGCACAGGTACTTAATGACTTCCTTGTTTTTCACTAAGGCTACATCTAGACTGCATTGCTTTTCCTGTATCCCAGAAAAGGAACACCGCATCCAAGGAACGTGTCCACTTTTTTGAAAACATTTTCGAAAAAGTGGACATGCTCTTTCACCATTCCTGTTAACCTGGTTCTATGAGGAATAAGGGATGTGTTGAAAGAGCACTTTTCCCCAAAATTTGGCACTATGTAGATGCACCAAATTTTGGAAAAGCCTCTTTTGAAAGTAAATCAGAAAACGATACTCAATTTGCGTACAAATTGCGTTTCTTTTTCCGATTTAACATTGCAGTGTAGACCTAGCCTAAGAAGGTTGGTGGTGATTGACTGCATAACATAATGAATGGCAGAGAAAATGGTTAGAAATTAAAATAGGAAAAGACCAGGTGAAAAATTACTTGGAGAAATTAGATGTCTTCAAGTCACTAGGTCTTTAAGGAGCTGACTGAGGAGATATCTGAGCCTTTAGCTACCATCTTTGAAAAGTCATGGAAGACAGGAGAGATTCCAGAAGACTGAAAAGGGGCAAATATAATGCCCATCTATTAAAGGGAAATAGGGAAAGCCCAGGGAATGATAGACAGGTTGAATTCTGTGCCAGGAAAGATAAGGAGCAAATAATGAAGGAGTCCATTTGCAATCATCTAGAAGATAATAAGGTGGTAAGAAATAATCAACATGGATTTGTCAAGAACAGACTGTATCAAACCACCTTGTTAGTCTTCTGTGGCAGAATAACAAGGCGTGTGGATAAGGGGGAAGCAGGAGATATGGTATATCTAGATTTCAGTAAGGCTTTAGATATAATCTTGCATGGCCTTCTCATTAATAAATTTGGGAAATACAACCTAGATGGGGCTAATATAAGGTGGGTGCATAACTTGTTGGATAACTGTTCTCAGAGGGAGACGTTGACAGAGCCGTGTAGATGAGGTTTCTAGACATAGGAAAATGAAGCGGCGATTTAAATAATCGCCGCTTCATTTACTTCAAAATGGCTGCTGCGCTGTGCCGATCAGCTGTTTGGTGGCACAGTGTAGTAGTCTGGACGCTCTGCGGTCGACAAGGGAAGCCACCCCGTTATGCCTTGTGGAACGAGGTTTACCGGGGTGGTCGACAAGGGCTTCCCTTATCGACCACGGAGCATCCAGACTACCGCGTTGAGCCGCCAAACAGCTGATCAGCACAGCGTGGCAGCCATTTTGATGTAAATGAAGCGGCAATTATTTAAACTGCTGCTTCATTTTCCTATGTCTAGTAAACTCATCTACAGGGCTCCGTCGATGGAGCCATGTAGTCTAGACATACCCAGAGGGTAGCTATCAACAGTTCACAGTCATTCTGGAAGGGCATAACAAGCAAGGTTCTGCAGGGGTCAGTTTTGGGACTTGTATTATCAATGATTTAGATATTGGCATACAGAGTAAGATTATTAAGTTTGCAGATGATGCCAAGCAGGGAGGGGTTGCAAGTGCTTTGGAAGATAGGGTCAAAATTCAAAATGATCTGCACAAACTGGAGAAATGGACTGAGGTAAACAGGATGAAGTTTAATAAGGACAAATGCAAAGTGCTCCACTTAGGAAGGAACAATCCGTTTCACACACACAGAATGGGAAATGATTGTCTCGGAAGGAGTACTGCAGAAAGGGATCTAGGGATCAGCGTGGATGACAAGTTAAACATGAGTCAACCATGTGACACTGTTGCAAAAAAAGCAAACATGATTCTGGGATTCATTAACAGGCGTGTTGTGAGCAAGGTACGAGAAGTCATTCTTCCTCTCTGCTCTGTGCTATTAGGCCTCAGTTGGAGGACTGTGTCCAGTTCTGGGCATCACATTTCAGGAAAGATGTGGAGAAATTGGAGAAGGTCCAGAGAAGAGCAACAAAAATGGTTAAAGGCCTAGAAAACATGAGCAAGGAGGGAAGATTGAAAGAATTGGGCTTGTTTTGTTTAGAAAAGAGAAGACCGAGAGGGGACATGATAACAAGAGCTTTCAAATACCTGAAAGGTTGTTAAAAGTCTGTGGAAAAAACCCAGTCTCCTTGGCCTCTGAGGACGGGGCATGAAGCAATGGGCTTAAACTGCAGCAAGGGAGGTTTAGGTCGGACATTAGGAAACATTTGCTAATGGTCAGGGTAGTTAAGCACTGGAATAAATTGCCCAGGGAGGTTGCCGAATCTCCCTCACTGGAGATATTTAAGAGCTAGTTAGACAAACATCTATCAGGGATGATCTAGGACCACCACAGCCTGCATCTTGCTCACCAGCTGCACCGTTAGGGGTACTGATACCACCGCACCCGCACAGCCAAAGCACTCGGTGGCAAGGGCAGCCCTCGTTTTATGAGGACACCCGAAACGCCAGAGAAATCAGCATGTGAGGGGCGTGCGGAGCTCTTCGGAAGCTGAGGCGCGACAGGGCCGCACGGACGCCGAGCTCTGGCGTGTTACAGACAGCGCTCCCCTGAGCACGCTGCCTGCGACGGGGGGAGCTTTACCTCTGTCACAAACTTGTTCTCTTTCCACAGGGTCATCGGCGCCTCCTGGAAGGTTTTTCGCATGGAATTGGGAGGTCGGTAGCAGTCCGTGTAGGTGCTGATGGGGGTCTTGGTTTTACGGGCGAAGAGGAACATCTTGAAACACGCCCGCGAGGGGGAATCCTTCTTCAAATGCGCTCAGCGGCTCCACAGGTCACAGGGGCACCTGGGGGGGTCAACGTCATGGGCCAAAGGCTCTTGTGCCTCAACGTCATTAGATTAGGATTCCCCGCCCCCTTGAACGTCTGTGGCTGCTGGGGAGGGGAGAGGGGCTCTGCATGCTGGGGTGCCAGCCTGGCGTGTTCCTTGAATGTGACAGCCTCCCCCACTCACCAGCCCCGCTTGCATCACCGATGATGTCACAGTAAACGCGCCGGGACATTCATCCCCTCCAGAGTCAGTGCCCTTGTGCTGGCTCCAACCTGTGTGTAGCGCACTCTGCTGCCATTCACACGAGAAAATCCCAGCCCTAGGGTGGGTCCCTTTCCCCCAGGGGTCTGCCACATTCTGGTGCAAGTGACGTAGCCTTGCTGAATGCCTTCGGCTCGCTTGCCCTTCGCGGGAGCAGAGCTCTCTGACTCCCATTCTTCGGTACGTACTAGGGATGAGAAAGTGGAGTCGGTCAACTGATTAACCTATAAAAGCGACGAGGAGTCCAGTGGCACCTTATAGACTAATAATTTATCGGAGCATAAGCTTTTGTAGGCAAAGACCCACTTTGTCAGATGCATGTAGTGGAAATTCCAGGGGCAGGTATAAATATACAGGCATAAGAAAAGAGTTCCAGTCAAGAGTGAGGCTGGAGATAACAAGGTCAATTCAGTCAGGGAGGATGAGGCCCACTTCTAGCAGCTGATGTGGAGGTGTGAACACCAAGAGAGGAGAAACTGCTTTTGTAGTTGGCTAGCCATTCACAGTCTTTGTTTAATCCTAAACTGATGGTGTCAGAAACCAATCCAGGCAACAAACCTCGGTGCCAACTCTGCCCACATATCTACACCAGCAACACCATCACAGGACCTAACCAGATCAGCCACACCATCACGGGTTTATTCACCTACACATCTACCAATGTAATATATGCCATTGTGTGCCAGCAATGCCCGTCTGCTACATACATCTGGACAGATGTATATATATACATATATACATCGGCCAAACTTGACAGTCTCTCCGTAAAAGAATAAACGGACACAAATCAGATGATAGGAATGTAAGAATAAACGGACATAAATCAGATATCAAGAATAGCAATACACAAAAAACCAGCAGAACACTTCAGGAATAAACGGACATAAATCAGATATCAGGAATGGCAATACACAAAAACCCGCAGAACACTTCAGTATCCCTGGACAAACAGTCGCAGATTTAAAGGTAGCCATGCTGCAACAAAAAAACGTCAAGAACAGACTTCAAAGAGAAACTGCTGAGCTACAGTTCATCTGCAAATTTGACACTGTGTCCAATAAACCTGTTAGTCTATAAGGTGCCACCGGACTCCTCGTCGCTTTTGGGAGGAATCTTGTTACTGTCTCTTTAAAGGACCAAGAACCTTGCAGAGTGGGCGGAGCAAGGCTCCCATTTCCCAGCCAATGGGGTAAACCATGGGAAGGGGACCTGTATATATGCTGCCTCCTCCTTCATAGCAGAGCAGAAGGAGAAAGGTGACCTACTGCACCCCCCAAATTGGAAGGTGAATTGCCATTTCCAAGGAAGAGAGGTGGGGACAACTCCTGTCTCCCGGAGGGAGATTCGACTGCGTTTTTTTGCAACAGCATCCCACTGTGGACTCATACTTAGCTTGTGGTCCACTCTGACCCCTAGATCCCCTTCTGCAGGACTCCTTCCTAGACAGTCGCTTCCCATTCTGCATGTGTGACACTAAGGCTGCGTCTAGACTGGCAAGTTTTTCCACAAAATCAGCTATTTTTGCGGAAAAACTTGCCAGCTGTCCACACTGGCCGCTTGCATTTT